GATTTTTTGGATGCCAAGAAGCGAAAGAAACTGATGCTCATGGACCACCACCAACTGGTTCGCTTCCATGTTGTGCCCACCCGCAACGTCATGGTGACTAAAGAGAAACGCTGGCGCAACCGTATTGAAGTGCGTTGCAGCCGTTGGCCCCCTTTCAAGATGTGGGTGTCTTCAGTTCTGAACAGCCGAACCTTCAAGGGCTTTATGATCTTTCTTATCTGTTTGAACATGCTGGTCCTCATGGTCTCAACACAGATAATAGGGAAGAAGGGAAACACCTATGGGAAAATTACCTGGGTCCTGGAGGTGATCATTTGGATCATTTTTAGCATGTTTGTAATGGAGATTTTGTTGCATTGGCTTGTGAGCTTTCGGAGATACTGGAGAAATCCTTGGAATATCTTTGATTTCACAGTGACCTTCATCTCCTGTATACCAGCATTAATATTTCCATTTGAGGTGAATAGGACAAAACTCCAACTTATCCAGTATAGCCGTGTACTGCGTGGCCTAAAGCTCTTTCCTAGAGTCCGACAAGTCCGGGTTCTCATCATGGCTATTGCCAAAGCCCTGAAGGCGATGGCCTTCATTTTAGTTCTCCTTGTCTTCCTCTTCTACGTCTTTGCTGTTTCGGGCATCTTCTTTTTTGAGAGTTACACCCGTTCAGACAGGATGGACCTGACTTACAACATGTTTTTCATGGACATGCCCAACTCTCTAGTGACCATCTTCATTCTTTTCACCATGGACCATTGGTATGCTCTGTTACAAGATTTATGGAAGGTCCCAGAGATAAACAAGGTGATCAGTGGTATATTTATCTGCCTATGGCTTCTGATTGGGGCATTTATTTTTAGGAATCTCTTTGTTGCCATTATGGTCACCAATTTCCAGAACATCCGAAGTGACCTAAGTGAAGAGGTGAGCCAGATAGAGACTCAGACGCAAGCTGACAAATTCAAAATGGAGATCATGGAAAAGAGATTCAGCCAGATTCAAACAGCTATGGACAAAGACATTACATT